CCCCTTCCCCTATAAATAGAGGGGTGAGGGGAGGGCTGCTGAACACAACCAAGGCGCAGCCCCTCCCCTCCCCAATGCCTCTCCTCCTCCGTCACGAGCTTGGCGAAGCCCTGTCGGAGTACTGCTTCTCCACCAACACCACGCCGTCGTGCTGCTGCTGGAGCCATCTTCCTCAACCTCTCCTTCCCCCTTGCTGGATCAAGAAGGAGGAGACGTCATCCGCTCCGTACGTGTGTTGAACACGGAGGTGTTGTCCGTTCAGCACTTGGTCATCGGTGATTTGGATCACGGCGAGTACGACTCCATCATCCACGTTCTAGTGAACGCTTCCACTCGCGATCTACAAGTGGTACGTAGATGCAATCTCTCTCCCATGACTCGTTGCTTAGATGAACTCATAGATAGATCTTGGTGAAACCGTAGAAAAATTTTAATTTTATGCAACGTTCCCAACACCTAGAAGCTCTGCTGAGAGGGGCTGGTCATTGGAAGGCTGCTCGTCTAGGGCCTAGTCGTACTCAGTGGGGTCGGCGGCGGTCTCGGGGTCTATCGAGAGGGAAGGAGGGGGAAGAAACAATAAGTTCACGACAACAAATGCAATCACTATGCATGACACGCCTAAATGATATGCAACTGTGATATATTGCCTATATAATGGCTTTAGATAATTTAGGAATTTAATTGGATTTATTTTATTTAGGTCATGCACTATTCATCTATCGAAATCGGGCAAAAAGTTCCATGTTCATCTAGTTAGGAGTGATGGTCAAGCATTTTGATCACATATTCGGATTTTCATATTTTTCTGATCATTTTTCATATATAGATTATTTTCAACCGAATTACGGTTTATTTTATATGGTTTTTCAAATATTTAATCATTTTCTTTAATTGTTTTAATTATTTAATACAGCATTATCCAAAACTGTGAAGGGTGACATCAGCATGTCGAATAGATGGCAACAGCAGTCAACTGCGGCCGACCAGAGTCAAACTACAGATTAATTAGAGGGTGGGCCCCATTAGGTTAGTGACACAGTAGCTAATTAGGATTTATTTAGACTAACTACAGATTAATTAGAGGATGGGCCCCAATAGGCAGTGACTGATTAGGTAATTAATTTAATTAACAAAATAATTAGTATTTTACTTATGTATTAAAATGTTTAAATATTGCGGGCCCACATGTCAGTGGCTGGACCAGCCTAGTCAGCACCGTTAACTGGTCAACCCAGTCAACGAGGCCAGTGGGGCCCGGGGTCAGTGGCACACGGGGCTCTACCTGTCGGGTCAGGTCAGTGCCGTCGCCAGAACAGCTCCGACGATCAAATCGCACGGCGGCGCGCGTCGAGCCTCGTCAGAAATCGGCCACATGCCACCGTTTTGAACGCGGCTGGGCGCGTTCGATCGGGAAGACGATGCCGCGTCTATCCTGGGCGGTGGCGTGGCCGGAAATGAACCACAGCGTCGACGGCGAGCTTGACGTTGGAGGCCGGAGTTCGGGCTCGAACGAGCGCTCTGCCACAGCTCATTTTCGAGCGTTTTAAGCGGCTAGGCGGGATCTACGGGGCAGCAGGAGCTCATCTACGAGCTTGGCGGAGCATGCCATCGCCGGGAGCGATGGCGACAAACTTCGCGGCGGAGCAACGCTCGGGCGGCAATGGCGACGGCGGCTACGGGCATCTAACAGTAGCGCAGAGATAGGGGAAAGGAATGGGAGCTCACGGTGATGCTGTAGGGACGGGTAGTGGACTCGGGGAGGGCTCAACGGTGCCGGAAACGTCAACGATCGCTGGCGATCCGAAGCTTGAAGACGGCGGCGATCTGGCAATGGGGAGACGCAGTGCTCGATCCAGTAGTTAGAGAGGAAGGAGAGGAGGCAGGCGGAGCGGATTATCTCGGTCTCAGGCGCCGGGGAGGACCGTGGCAATGCCGACGAGCTTGGCCATGTCGACGGCGTTCAGAGAGGTGGAATGCGAGAGAGGGAGAGAGCGAGAGGGAAATCTGGGGGCAGCTAGGGTTTGCGGGGAGAGGGAGGCGACCTGGGATGCCCTTATCCATGACGGGGAGATGGCGGATGGCCGGTGCGTGGCGATCGGCTATCGGGCGCGCGCGCCAGCCGACACGGAGGCGGGAAGAGGACGACGAGGGGCTAGGTGGGCTGGCCGCGCTGTAGTTCACTTAGGCCCGGTGCGCCCGTGAGTTGTTTCTCTTTTCCTTTTTCTTTTCTGTTTTCCTTTTTCATTTCTGTTTTGCAAATAATTAGGCCCCTAATGACTTTAGAAAAATATCGGACTTATATCATTAAATATTATACAATATTTGGCACTGTTATAAATTGGTTGGGTAAATAATTGAAATAATTTAACTTTTGCCTAATTAGCATGGACTTAAATGATGCTGTTTTAGTACCGTTTCAAGGGCTAGCGCTCATTTTAAGTTGATGGTGATCTTGTTTCCCAGAATAATATTTGTTTTGGATTATTTCCAACATGATGAATATTTTTCCAGTAATTTTTATGCAACTTTATATTTCACATGCATTTGAAATGGCATTTGAAATGAGATATGATTCCAACGGTGATCAAGACTAATTACTCATGATGACTTGGCATTATCAAAGGGTGCTCACGGTAGCTATTACATGGGGATCTTACAATAACTTACGTAGCCCATACCAACATGAGATCTAGTTCCGAATGTCTCGTCGCGACGAATCTTTTTTGTGATGAAAGTTTTTCATCGGACCGACGGTTTGAGATATACTAAAACATTTAAACTTTTGAAATAGGAATAATCTTTTGCTGACATAATCTGTTTTGTCTTGTAGTTTGCATGCATGCATGAAATCACAAATCAACACATACATGTCCTTCATCGGCCACGAATGAGATTCACAATTAAGGAAAAAGGAGAATTAGATGTGTGATTAGCAATTAAGCAAGAGAAAGGGGCGTTGGGATCTGTCCCTAAATTCCGACTAGTCGGAAGTTAGCACAGTCCATATAAATTTCAGTTTGTAAATTATGTTGATGCATGAGATTGTGCTATGTATTTACACTGTATGGCATGTGTCGATAACCGTGGTTTTTTCTGGGGTTTATCGTCTACACATGCCGGGTCTTATGGTTTGGCGATGGTGACCGAAATAGCTCAATCTTTTTTGCTAAGACCAGCATAAAAAATAAAAATATGCCGGGGTCGAAGATCGCGTGCGTGCATTGGGGGCAGCGGCGTGGTAACCTTAGGGGGTGGTCGGGAGGTGGACCTTACACATATATTTTTTTCTTGAAAATGGAAACATAAACGACAACTGTATATCGAAAAGGAAAGTATCGGAATCGAATACGGCCTGCTAGTTTTCGGATTTTTCAGAAATCGATCAAGAGAGTTCTCACTTCCATTTTTTATTTTATATCCCTCGTGCGGAAAGCACATCAAGAATATGCACCTGGTCCATGATTAGTTGGTACGGTGCCACTACTAATACAAGTGGACAGACCCAGTGGCGGCTAGCTAACTCGTCAAGAACATGTACCTGGTCCTGTCCATGCATGATTAGATGGTGCCTACTAACACACGTGGGCGGCTGCTAGGCAAACAAAGGAATTAATCAGACCCAGTGGCTGGCTGCTCGGCAAACAAAGACAAAGGAATCGTCGGTGAACATGCATGGAAGTTGCATCGACTACATGCCGGCCCTTCCTCCATATAGCAGACCAGACAGAGTAGCTAGCATTCTCATTCCGCCTCTTGGCCACGCCATGCCTCCTCTCTACATATTACTGCTCTGGCCTCTTGTTCTCTACACACCATCACCTTCCGCCGCGGACGATACTCTCAAGGCAGGCCAGGCGCTCGCCGCTGGTGACAAGCTCGTCTCCAGCAGCGGCAAGTTCGCGCTCGGCTTCTTCCGGCCAAGCATGATCAGTAAGTCTGGAACAAACATCATCTCCCCTAACTGGTATCTTGGCATCTGGTTCAACAGGAAGCCGGTCTGTACTCCTGTATGGGTAGCTAACAGGGAGAATCCAATCACTGGCCCCAACCTCAAGCTAACGCAGCTCAAAATATCACAAGATGGCAATCTTGTCGTCTCACTAAGCAATGCCACCGAATCCACCATCATATGGTCATCCACTCACCTTGTCAATAATATTAATAGGAGCACTACTCCCACTAGTGCCCTTCTCTTGAACAGCGGGAACCTTGTGGTCGTACTCGTAGAGAGCCCATCCAATGCAACGCTATGGCAGAGCTTTGACTACCCAACGGATATTGTGCTTCCCGGCGCCAAGTTTGGCTGGGACAAGGCCACCGACTTGAATCGTGAGGCCATCTCAAAGAAGAGCCTCATTGATCCGGGTCTGGGATCCTACACCATTAAGCTAGGTGCCAATGGGATGGTCCTCACGCGCCGCAACCCCTCGGTGGTGTATTGGCATTTTTTCAATTGGCCATCCCCAAAATCAGTAGTGAAAGTCATACAGCTGATCAACATGACACTAGGCATCAATCCCCAGACCCAAGGTTTGATTAACCCCATCTATGTCAATAACAATGAAGAGGAGTACTATGCCTTCACTCTCTTGAATGAGTCAGCTTCTACATACTTTTCAATAGACATCTCTGGTCAGGTCATGATAAATGTTTGGTCGGAAGCCGGGCAGTCTTGGCAAAGTATATACGCCAACCCGCTCGATCCCTGCACTCCGTATGCTACCTGTGGGCCATTCACGCTCTGTAGTGGTAATTCAAATCCATACTGTGACTGTATGGAGGGATTCTCTCACAAGTCACCACAGGATTGGGACCTTGATGATCGAACAGGAGGGTGCATCAGAAATACTCCATTGCAGTGCACTAGCAAGAAGAACACGATAAATTCAACGGACAAGTTCCACCCCATTGCTCGTGTTACATTGCCCTATGAACCCCAAAGCATGGGCAATGCTACCACTCAGAGCGAATGCGCAGAAGCTTGTCTCGGCTCCTGCTCCTGCACTGCTTACAGCTATAACAGTAGCGGGTGCTCTATCTGGCATGGGGAATTGCTTAATGTAAATCTGAATGATGGCATCGGAATCAATGCTCAGGATGTACTTTACCTTCGTCTTGCCGCCAAAGATTTGCCAAGTTTGAGAAACAACAAAAGGAAACTAAACATTGGAGTCGTTGTTGCTGCCAGCGTTATTGGTTTTGGATTACTGATACTCATTATGTTGTTAATGATTTGGAGGAAGAGACTCAAGTGGTGTGGTGCATCATTACATGGTACTCAAGGTAGCGGTGGAATTATAGCCTTTAGATACACTGATTTGGCTCATTCCCCCTTTTCGAAAAAAAAACACTGATTTGGCTCATGCTACTAAAAAATTCTCAGAACAGCTAGGATCGGGTGGTTTTGGTTCTGTATTCAAGGGGGTGTTAAGTGACTTGACTACTATAGCAGTGAAAAGGCTTGATGGAGCCCGCCAGGGTGAGAAGGAATTTAGAGCTGAGGTGAGTTCACTTGGAGTGATCCAACATATCAATTTAGTCAAATTGATTGGTTTCTGCTGCGAAGGTGATAAGAGACTACTTGTGTATGAACACATGTTGAACGGATCTCTTGATGCCCATATTTTTGATAGCAGTGCTTTGACCCTAAATTGGACCACCAGGTACCAAATAGCAATAGGAGTTGCTAGAGGATTGTCATACTTGCATCATAGTTGTCACAAATGCATCATACACTATGATATTAAGCCACATAACATACTTCTAGATGCCTCATTTGTTCCTAAAATTGCGGACTTTGGATGGCAGCAGTCGTCGGAGGGGATTTTAGCCGAGTTTTGACTGCATTCAGAGGAACCGTTGGGTATCTTGCCCCGGAGTGGCTTGCCGGAGTTCCTGTTACACCAAAAGTTGATGTTTATAGCTTCGGTATGGTGCTGCTAGAAATTATATCAGGAAGAAGAAATTCAGCTGATGTACACAGTGGCACTGGCAGTAGTGGTCATGTTGAATACTTTCCTGTGCGAGCCATCAGAAAGCTTCATGAGGGAGATGTGCAGACTTTGATGGATCCACAATTACATGGTGACTTCAATTTAGAAGAGGCTAAAAGAGTTTGCAGAGTTGCATGTTGGTGCATCCAAGATAATGAGGATAATAGGCTTACAATGATTGAAGTAGTCCAGATCCTTGAGGGTCTACAAGAGGTTGGCTTGCCCCCGATGCCAAGACTACTAGCAGCTATGACCCAATCCTCCGACGGCGCTTCATAGTTGGTGTCGGTGTTACTTATACCGTCGTTCTAGCGATTTCTGAGTTGTATTATTGTCTGGTGCATGTGGTTCCAATTTCTCTTATCTTATGTAAGCAAGATTGTATGTATGCTTTTCAATTACTTATAATTTTAGCTCCAAGGATTGGTTGCTCTATCTAAGAAAAACAACAAGGACTCCCCCTTTACGACAGTTAAGTGAACCCGCCACAACAATTCTATGTAGGCGTCTTGACTGGTATCTGCTGGAGTTTCGTCTCCTAAAGGCAAGCAATGGTGCAGCGCGATGTCTGTAACATCCCCCTGACAGTATCACAGCGAGCTCCCTCGTTGAGCCCTCTAACCATTCCAATTGAAGGTTGAACGTGATTGATCATTCTTTGGCCGTCGACATGGCCGCAACGCTTTAGGGAATTAAAATTGAATGCAGCAACAGGGACTAGACGGCTTGCAAAGATAGCAGGCAGTGGCATCACTTTGGGGAAATACAAGAACTAACAGAGAGCGAAGCAGTAGGGTCTATCATGGATGATGAGCGGCGATCAACACTTCAGCAGTTCACCATCATAAGATTTAGTAAAGAGAGTAGGGTCGAGTGAACCGGGTGTGAAGCCATTCTTCACGAAGAATTCCTTCAATGTATCATACCACGCCCGAGGGGCTTGCTTGAGGCCATAGAGGGCCTTATTAAGTCTGAAGACTTTGTCAGGATTCTTTGGATCTTCAAAACCTGGGGGTTGAGCAACATATACTTCTTCCTCAAGCTTACCATTGAGGAATGCACTTTTCACATCCATTTGATATAAGATGATATCATGATGGTTAGCATAAGCAAGTAATATGCGAATAGCCTCAAGTCTAGCAACAGGTGCAAAAATTTCATCGAAATCAATTCCTTCAACCTGTGTGTAGCCTTGAGCTACTAGTCGTGCCTTATTCCTCACCACAAGGCCATTTTCATCTTGCTTGTTGCGGTAGATCCACTTTGTGCCAATGATATTATGCTTGCGAGGATCTAGGCGATTGACCAGTTCCCATACATTGTTAAGCTCGAACTGATGTAATTCTTCTTGCATAGCCTGAATCCACTCCGGCTCCATAAATGCTTCATCTACCTTAGTGGGCTCTGTGATAGAGACAAAAGCATAGTGCCCACAAAAGTTAGATAAATGTGAAGCTTTTGAGCGTGTGAGAGGACCTGGTGCACTAATGTCATCGATGATCTTCTCCACTTGCACTTCTTTTGCAACGCGAGGATGAGCTGGTTGTCGTTGAGGAATTTGGTCAGCATTTTCATCAGCACCATTTTCCTCAGCATTTTCTTCAGGTGCATCAGCTCGACGTTCTTCATGAACAGGAATGAATTCTTCAGCAGATTCTTCAGTAGGAATGACATCCTCAGTTGCCTTGAACTTGATGGAATCCTCATGTGCTGGTTCATCTAACACAGAAGGTAGGTGCTCTCTTTGTGAGCCATTAGTTTCATCGAACCGCACATCTACAGTGTCAACAATCTTGTGAAGAACAATGTTGAAGACTCTGTAGGTGTGTGAGTCCTTTCCGTAACCAAGCATAAAACCTTCATGTGCTTTCGGTGCAAATTTAGAATTGTGGTGAGGATCTCTAATCCAACATTTAGCACCGAAGACTTTGAAATAACTCACATTGGGTTTCTTGTCAGTGAGGAGTTCATAGGCCGTCTTCTTGAAGAATTTGTGAAGATATACTTTGTTGATGATGTGGCACGCAGTATCAATTGCATCAATCCAAAAATGCTGGGGCGTTTTGTATTCATCAAGCATAGTGCGAGCCATCTCAACAAGAGTTCTGTTCTTGCGCTCCACGACGCCATTTTGCTGAGGAGTATAGGGAGCAGATAACTCATGAGTAATACCAAGTTCATCAAGATAGTCATCAAGACCGGAATTCTTGAACTCAGTTCCATTGTCACTTCTGATGTGCTTGATCTTCACACCAAAGTTGGTTGAAGCCCTCGAGGAAAATCGTTTGAATACTTCCTGCACTTCATGTTTGTAAGTAACAATGTGTACCCATGTATATCGAGAATAATCATCAACAATGACAAAACCATATAGAGATGCATCATTAGTGACTGCTGAGTAATGATTAGGTCCGAAGAGGTCCATGTGAAGCAATTCGAATGGACGAGTAGTGGTCATGATAGTCTTCGCTGGATGCTTGGCCTTGGTCATTTTTCCAGCTTCACAGGCTCCGCATAAGTGATCCTTGAGGAATTTGACATTCTCAATGCCAATGACATGCTTCTTCTTCGCAAGCGTGTGCAAATTCCTCATGCCTACGTGACCAAGTCGTCGATGCCATAGCCAGCCTTCTAAAGCTTTTACAAGTAGACACACGGCTGGTTGTGGTCCTGTAGAGAAATCAACAATATACAGATCTCCTCTCCTAAAGCCTTCGAAGACTTTGGAATTGTCAGCTTCCATAATCACAACACAGTGATACTTGCCAAAGACAACAACCATATCAAGATCACAAAGCATTGAGACTGACATGAGGTTGTATCCTAAGGACTCAACAAGCATGACTTTGTCCATGTGTTTATCCTTAGAGATTGCAACCTTACCAAGACACAATACCTGACTTTTGCCTTTGTCAGCAAAGATGATATGCTTCATATGTGACTGTGATAAGGGAGCATCCATCAATAGATTCTTGTCACCAGTCATGTGATCCGTACATCCACTATCGAGGACCCATTCAGTAGTTTTGGGTTGATCATCCTGAAGATGAATTAGTGTAGCTTACAATCTCATATGCTTCATCAGTGAAGAATATGATATCAAGTTCATCAGATGACTTTCATCAAGCAGTAAACAGGTATAGCAGTATGAGGACGTGTGAAATGAAGGTTCATTTCATCATGATTCGCATGCGTCCTTTCAGGCAATTTTGTCAGGTCCCCAGCAAATTCTTCAGACGTTAAAGCACGTCTGGAGACCTGACCCTGCAGAAGAGATTAGTTCTTTTTCTTCACCACCCACATCTGAAGGGGTGGCAAAGAGTTCATCACTCTACGAGCACCATACGAGAATGGTGGCATAGAGGCCAAACCATTTCGTTTCACATAAGAGGGGTTAGGGTAAGCATATGAATAAGCAGAGAAATTCTTCGAGGACTTATGAACATAATGGTTTGAAGAATAATGCACATATTCATAGCCCTTAGCTCTACCCTGCGACACAGAGTTGTTAGCACAATGATAATCATCTGAGGACTTTGATCCTTTAGAAGAATTTGATCCATGTGAGGAATTTGGTCCGTATGAGGACTTGGATCCATATGAAGAATTTGGTCCATATGAAGAATTTGATCTGGGGTTCCTGTTCTTCACAGGTGGTGTCATGAGGACATTCACCTGAAGACTTTCAACATAACTTTTGGGAACCCAGATTTTCTTCATAGGGGAACCGTTCCTGTAGTTAGTGCCAACATATCTAGCAAATACTTCACCTTTCTGATTTTTGAACAGTTTATAGTTTGAGTCAAATGACTCATCAGAAGAATGAGGAGATTCACATGTAAAGCCGGATAAGTTAGATGGATCAACTGGAGGTCCCTTTGCAGCAACCCATGAGGTTTTGGGGTACTGCTCAGGCTTCCAATATGTTCCATCAGCATTAAGTTTCCTCTCAAAGGCAATACCCTCTTTCCTAGGGTTTCTGTTGAGGATCTGCTTTTTAAGCACATCACAAAGAGTCTGATGCCCTTTGAGGCTTTTGTACATGCCTGTCATGTACAATTCCTTCAGCCCTGCATTGTCAGTGATACTAGCAATGTCCTCAGATGAGGAATTAGTGATAGCAGAGATAGGTGAAGAATTTGTAACAGTTGAAGCATTTGAACATTCAGGTGAAGAATTAGCAGATTCACGTTCAATGCACTTTAAGCATGGAGGAACAAATTCTTCCTGAGAAGCGCTGATTTGTTGAGCTAGTAATGAATCGCGCTCCTTCTGAAGATCTTCATAACACACTCTTAGCTTTTCAAGATCTTCCTTTCTTTGAAGAGATTCAGAGGAAAGCTTCTCGTGATCTTGCTTTCCTTGAAGAAATTCATAAGAAAGTTTCTCATGATCAGATAAGAGAGTGTTATGATGACTTTGAAGGTTATCAAACCTAGACTAAAGTCTCTGAAGATTTTCAGTCAGGGCTTTAGTGCGATCCATTTCTTCACCCAACATATCATCACTTTTGTCTAGCATGTTTTGAACCTTTTCAAAAGCCCGTTGTTGTATTACAGCAATCTTAGCAAGTTTAGAGTAGCTGGGCTTGAGATCCTCATCAGATTCATTTTCACTAGATTCAGAGGAGTTGTATTTGAGTACCTTTGCACCTTTCGCCATGAAGCAATAGGTGGGAGCGTAGCCATCATTATCTTCATCAGGCTTGTTGGTGGGGTCAGTTTCTTCAGTGTTGAAGATGGACTTGCTAACGAAAGCAGTAGCGAAGGCCAGACTCGCCACACCAGATTCAGATTCTTCAGACGCCTCGTCTTCCTCATTTTCCTCAGATTCAGCTTCAGAGTCCATTTCCTTGCCAATGAATGCCCGAGCCTTCTTGGAGCTGCTCTTCTTGTGAGATGAAGACTTAGAGGATTTTGATGACGAAGATTTTGACGATTTCTTTTTCTTCTTCGCATCATCAGAACTGTAATCCTTGTATTTCTTCTTCTTCATTTCCTTTTCCCACTGAGGACAATCTTGAATATAGTGACCAGGTTTCTTGCATTTGTGGCACAGCCTTCTCTTATAGTCACTGGATGAGGAATCACTACTTCTTGAGGATTTTCCAAAGCGACCACGTCTTGAGAACTTCTGGAATTTCTTCACGAGCAGTGCTAGCTCCTGGCTCAATTCTTCAGGATCACCAAGGCTACTACCAGAATCCTCACATTTAGAGTCAGACACAGCCTTGGCCTTCAAGGCACGTGGTTTGCCATAGTTTGAACCATAGAGATCTC